GGAGTTCTCTCGCAGAGGGTCACCATGAGAAGTCTTCGGTCGAAGATTGCAACGGATTCCTTCTGCCGAGGATTTGACCAGGATTCCGTTTGTCGAGACTTACATGAGGATTCCTGATGTAGAAGATTCCAATAGAACTCATTGCGTGGAGGAGTACACTAAGATTCCTCGCGAGGAGGATTGCGATCGGATTCCTTACGCGGAGGATTACAATAGGATCCCTTTCGTTGACGAGTGCACAAGGATTCCTCGCGCGGACGATTACAATAGGACTCCTTTTGCGGACGGTTTTACATTAAGGTTCATTTTGTGGAGGATTACAATCGGATTCCTTGCGCGGGGGATTGCAATAGGATTCCTTTTGTAGACGATCATATTAGGATTCCTTATGTAGAGGATTTGCAGGCGACAGTGAGCGCACGGCCCCTCCCGAGGCGGCCAGAGTGTTGGCCAGGGCCCGAAGAGGCCCTGGCGCGCGCGGCGGGCCCGCGGAGGCCCTAGGGCATGAAGTGGGCCCGAAGAGGCCCCCTGTGCAAGGCCCGTGCAGGGCTGGACTGAGAGGAGCGGGGCGTTCCCGCCAAGGCTCCTATGGCTCGAGGATAATCCATCGAGCGAGATCATCATCTCTGCATGGTGGCAGCATGTGAGGTCGTCTGAACCTACCCTTCAGGCTAGTGGCGCCAGCGCGCCATGGCGGCCGACATCGGAGCAGCTGGGGTGCAGCTGCTGGATTCGCGCGGAGTCGGCAAGGTGCCGACGTTTTCAAGCAAGAGGGAGGACTTCGAGGATTGGATCTTCCCGTTCGAGTCCTTCTGCGGTCTGCTGGGCTGGACGGCAGGCCTGGACAGGTCAAGAGAGGCCGAGGAGCCGCTGACGGCGGACGACCTCGGCGAGCAAGGAGTGCAGGTCGGCAGGAGCTTGTACCACCTGCTGGCGAGCACCACGAAGGGCACGGCGCAGAGCATCGTCAAGCTCTGCCCACGAGGCGACGGTTTCGAAGCGATGAGGAGGCTGCACAAGGAGTACCGGCCGAGGCTGAACGAGGAGCACGGCCAGAAGCTCCAGCAGATCTCGACGCCGCTGTGGTGGAAGGATCGCGAGGACAAGGAGCGCTTCACGGAGGTGCCCATAGCCTGGGGCGAGCTGATCTCGAGGTACGAGCGCGCGACTGGAGAGCAGGTCACGCAAAATATGAAGACGAGCACGATCATGGCCCACGCGCCCGGGGAGGTGAAGGTCATGCTACGCTCGGCGCAGCGCGAGGTGCGCAGCGACATCACGCAGATGAGGAACTGCATCTTCGAGGCGGTGATTGGCCAGAGTGGGGTGGTCGCGAAGCCGCCGACAGCGAACAGGGGGAGCAACGACATGGACGTCGACGCGATCTCCAAGGGCAAGGGCAAGGACGGCAAGGACAAGTGCCAGATCTGCCACAAGCCGAGCCACACAGCCCGCGACTGCTTCTGGCGTGACAAGGGCAAGCAGAAGGGCGACGGAAAAGGCCGAGGAGCAGTAGCGGGATCCAAGGGCGGAAAGGACGCCAAGGACAAAGGCAAGGACGGCTACACGTTCACGGGAAAGTGCGACTATTGCCACAAGACAGGCCACAAGAAGGCGGACTGCAAGAAGCGGATCGCCGATGAGAAGGCCAAGGGAAATGCGGCTATCGAGCAGGAGAGCACGGACCCGAAGACGGTGGCCAAGATCGAGCACGCGGAGTACGAGTGCGAGATCTGCGACGACGACCAGCTCTACTGCATGGCGATGAAGGCGGAGGATCCCGAGACGGAGTGCTGCGGCATGGAGCTCGAGGAGACGACCTTCATCACGCTGGACACGGCGAGCGACTGCCACGTGGGGCCGACTTGCTTCGGAGAAGGATGCAAGAAAGGCGAGGATCGCGGACCGAGGCTGCTGGATGCGCAGCGGAAGGAGATCAAGATGGACTCCATCGTGACGGTGCCGATGGCGGTTGCCGACGACTGCGAGCAGCCGAAGCTGCTGAAGGCGGACTTCAGGCTGGGTGACACGGTATCGAAGCCGATCCTCTCGTTGCTTGAGGTGATGGACAAGGGTGCCGAGTTCTGTCTGAGTGCGAAGACGGGCATGTGCATGTACCCTGGCGGTGACCTCAGCAAGGGCATCCCGCTCACCAGGAAGAACAACACGCTGGGCCTCAACGCAAAGACCTTCAAGACAGCGACGGAGGCGAAGGAGTTTGCGGCCAGCGTGAACGCGAATGAGCAGCAGGAGG